CTTTTACGTGCTTTTTTTGGTAGAGATGGAGTCTCACTTTATTACCCTTGGTAGAGTGCCATGGTGTCACACAGCTCACAGCAACCTCCAAGTCCTGGGCTTAGGCTATTCTCTTGCCTCAGCCTCCTCCGAGTAGCTGGGACTACAGGCGCTGCCACAATGCCTGGCTATTTTTTGTTGCAGTTTGGCCGGGGCTGGGCTTGAACCTGCCATCCTCGGTATGTGGGTCTGGTGCCTTAACCACTGAGCAACAGGCATCGCACTTTTTTTCTATTTTTTAAAAATAGCATAATAGTATCAGATTAGAGGTATCTTAGGTTTAGTATATATAGCACTTTGAGCAAGTCAATTTGGTAATTCTACTTGATGGTAAATTATCTCTTGTGATACTTCTGTCTGTTAACTAAATCTTCAGAAAAAAACTTAATTGAGTGGATCTTTGGCTACAAAACTAGTTTGTTATTGATTTGAAAGAAGACACTTATATTGTGTTTTGAAGGGCAAAAGGGAGAATACTGAAGAGTAATATTAAATGTGTTTTGTATTAATATGCTCTTAATGTTCACAAACGGAACTGACAAGACTGTTTCCCACTGTGTCCTGTCAAACTGTCCTGTCAAACAGTCCTGCCTTCTAACTTGGAAGTAGTGCTTCTGAGGCTAACCTTCTACTTCTCTTGGACTTGGTCCTACTACTTTGGGTGATTTAGGAACTTGGTGCTGAGATTGTCAGAGTTGCAGTGAAGACGGGCATTCACATCTGTGGGCAGTGATGTGGCCTGTTACTCTGGGACAGTTGCTCTAAGTGGGTATCCTGTCTTTGACGATGATTCCTATGCCAGATGGGAAGGAAGATATAAATCCCTCATCATATACTGACTTCCACTCCCTCCACCCCTGGGATCAGAGCCAGGCTGGCCTCTGTCTGTCTGTGCCCCACAGTAACATTGCTCTTTCCCCCAAGCAGAATACTTACATGCCACCGTGGGCTCTGTGTGTGCATGTCCTATCAGACAGAAAAATCTTACATCAAATTCTGTTCATTTGGGGTGATGACTGAGGTTCGAGGGAGTTATTACAGTAGAACTTCTATGGGTTGACCACTCAAGAACTTCTGTAGGTTGACCATTTCTGTAGGTTTGACTGTAACAAACTGGTCAACACATGGAAGTGATCAACATAAGGGACCAAGCCTGCTGTCCTGACACCACACGTACATTAGATGCCGGTCTGCTCTATGACAATTAGGTTAAGTTAGGGAGGTGGTCAGCTATGAGGATTCTACTGTGTATTTTGACACTGCTCTTTGAAAAAAAATTATTTTTGAGACAGAGTCTCACTCTGTCACCCTGGGTAGAGTGCCATGGCATCATAGCTCACAGCAACCTCAAATCTTGGGCTCAAGCAATTCTCTTGCCTCAGCCTCCCAAGTAGCCAGGACTATAGGCCACCTACCACAATGCCTGGCTATTTTTAGAGAGACGGTCTCGCTCTGGTTCAAGCTGGTCTTGAAACTATGAGCTCAAGCAATCCACCTGCTTCGGCCTCCTGAGTGCTAAGATTACAGGCATAAGCCACTGCATCCAGCCTTTGAATAGTTTTTATATCCTGGTTACACTAAAAGCATTTCATAGAGATTGTGGTGCACAGGGAGTGGGGAGTGTAATGACGAGTGGCAGGATAGCCGGAGGGAAAGAAAAAGAGTTCTCTAAATAGGCCCTTGCTGGCTGTCCTCCCTCGCTGGGATCACAGCGCACCCGGCTTCAGCATCTTATGACATGCTCAAGATGTGAAGGGGATCCCAGATCCTGAGGTTCACAGAATTAGAGCTAGAAGAGATGAATATTTTGTTTGACTCAGAAAAAGTTAAGGAATATGTTTGGGATACTCAGTGGCTGTAACAGAGTCCCCCTTCCCCCGAATTTAATGATTTGAACTCCACGCTTGGCAAACACAACTGTATACATGAGACCAGTTTAAACTCATGATATGTTGTATTCATAGTTCTTTGGGTTTCTATGGAAACCTCCTCTTACTTGCTTAAGCAAAAATGGGGAATTTATTTGAAGGAAGCTGAGGTATTACACAAAATTGCACAAAACTGAAGGAAAGGTTGAACAAGCCGGTCTGTGACGAGAAAGACCCAGGGTGGTCTGGGCTGGCTGCAGCTTGTGAGTCTCCCACTGATGCTGTATCAACTCAGGCTGTCTCTGCTATCTGTCTGGTCCCAGTGAGACACTCTGCATGGTTTCTTCTTTCCATGGAGGCCCCAGAGGAAGCTCACACAGCCCCTTGGACGAGCCGCCCCTTCCCTCCTTCTCCTGTGACCCTGCTTTACCTCTTCATCACACCTATCAGCATGGAGAAGTCTGAAGGCACCTTCCCCTCTGAGATTTAAAACTACCAATGCTCAGGCTTAAGCTCCACAAGACTCCAATTTAAGTGGTGTGGGGCATGTGTATTTTTCTTCAATTTTTTTTTAGACACTTTATTTTTTTTTAATATTTTTATTTTTTAGAGACAGAGTCTCACTTTGTCACCCTTGGTAGAGCACAGCTCACAGCAACCTCCAGCTCTTGGGTTTAGGCGATTCTATTGCATCAGCCTTCCGAGTAGCTGGGACCACAGGTGCCCACCACAACGCCCAGCTATTTTTTTGTTGCAGTTTGGCCGGGGCCAGGTTTGAACCCACCACCCTAGGTATATGGGGCTGGCACCCCACCCACTGAGCCACAGGCACCACCCATTTTTTTTAGACACTTTAGAAACTTTATTAAAGGATGAAGGGTGTCAGCTCCCAGTACCATGAGGGAGACAAATGATAAATAAGGGCTAAAAGAAGCAAGGCAGGCTGCCAGAGCAGGATGCCTCATGGTGGAGAGCCCCAAGGGGCAGTGGGACCAACTGAAGAAAACACAGGGCATCCTGCCATTCAAGTGATGTGACCACAGGATTGGTGCAGACCCAGCAGGGTCCCGGGGAAGGGGCTTGCTGGTATGAAAGGCACACTCATCATCTAGGCAAGCCTGGTGGAAGCAGGGGATGGTGGTTAGACACACTTGGAGGCTCTGCCTCAGGGCCAGGGATTGAGGGCCAGACTCTGGGCCCTGCCTGGTCTGCCGTGAGCCTCAGAGACTGTAGTGAGTGGATAGGGGTCTGGCACAGATTGGGATGTGTATTTTTCTTAAAAGCTCCCTGCTCTCGTGTGCAGCCAGGGTTAGGAATCATTGCCTTGAGCCCAGGAGTTTGAGGCTACAGTGAGCCATGACAGGGTTGCTATACTGCAGCCTGGGTGACAGAGCAAGACTCTGTCTCAGGAAAAACAAAAAAATCATTGCGGGTGGTGCCCATAGCTCAGTGGGTAGGGGACTGGGAACATACACTGAGACTGGCAGGTTCGAACCCAGCCCTGGCCAGCTAAAACAACAATGTAACTGCAACAACAACAAAATAGCCGGGTGTTGTGGTGGGTGCCTGTAGTCCCAGCTACCTGGGAGGCTGAGGCAAGAGAATTGCTTAAGCCCAAGAGTTTGAGGTTGCTGTGAGCTGTGATGTCACAGCATTCTACTGAGGGCAACATAGTGAGACTCTGTCTCCAAAAAAAAAAAAAAAAATCATTGCTCTCTGCATTGACAGGACAAATACAGAATGTGGTGCTCTAACCAGTGCAGCTAAAACTGTGTTTAAGTAAGGATGACAGCTCTAGAAAGGACTGTTAAAGAATAATAAGGCATTTGCAGATCACTACACATTTGTGATACTGAGCAGAGCCTCCCAGACTGAGTCAGGGGTCCTCAGTTGATTCTAACGAAGGCCGTGTCAGGTAGCTGGCAATACCTTCATTTTCCAAATGAGTCAACTGAGGCTGAGGGATTGACCAGCAGCTCAGGATTTAGACTCAGCCTACGCCTGCAGTTCTTTGGCAAACAGACCACTGGGCCAGCCAACTACAGGACTCTAACTGACCCCTCCGCCTGATGCCCACCAAGGGCTGTGATGAGGCCCCACCTCCACCCCACCCCCCCACCCCCCC